CTCTCTGTTTCAATGCACACGCTGTGTCAAAGCACTTGGCAGAACAATAAGTATCCCAAACCAGAAGCAGGAGCTCAATGGACATCAGAGTGTCCATACTCTTCCTTTGAGAGGTTGAGTCTGGCATACAGTCATCACACAACTGGCAGGGTTTTGAGTAGTGAGAGGAGAGGGAGGACAAAACCAGGTGGACTTCACTTGCGAGAAAGCAATGATTCCTCTATTCCTTTCCTTATCAGACATACCAAAGAGAGTGTTCAGAGCAGCTCTAGGAACTTTCAGCACTGAGCTTTTCTTTTCCGAGCACTCAGGGGTTGCTCAATAGTGATCATACAGTTAAACTCTCCCCAAAATTCGCATGGAAGCTGTAGCTCCCATTGGAGGTACAACCTCCACCAGGAGCAGAAAACCTCCATCAGGACCAGGCATTACAACCATTGGTCACCATCTCGGATGCAGTTGATTTTCTTCATAGTAGCCCATATGTTGCTGGGGTTTAGACTGGTGACCAAAACAGAGTTGATAGCACACCAACATTTTATCTATTGCTGAACAGCACTTGCAGAGCGTCAAAGCTTCTCTGTTTCTGACTGTGCCCCCAAAGTGAGTAGGCTGGGTGTGGGCAAGAGGCTGGAAGGGAACACAGCTGTGACAACTGGCCCAAACTGACCACAGAGATTTTTCATGTCATCTAATGGTATGCTCAACAATAAAACTTGTAGCGATTTTTTCTGAAGTTGATGTTGCTTGGAGACTGGTTGGTCATCAGTCTGCTGGTGGTGAGTGATTGCCTCTGCATCATTTTGGGTTTCTTTTCTTTTTTTCCCCTCCACCTATTAAACTGCCTGTATCTTGATGCTTGGCTTTTATCATTTGGCCTCCTGATTATCTTCCCCATCCCATGGGTTGGGGAGAGGGGAGAGCAAGCAGCTGTGTGGTACTTAGCTGCATGTCAGAGTTAACCCATCTCACCATCTCCTGTCCACAGGGAGGGTAGAAATCCACCCTACTTGGGTATCCACAAGTAAAATGCTAAAGAGGTCTTGTAAGAAATCTTCAGAAGACTCTTAAGGAGTCTTCTCCTGAAGACTTCAGAAGTCTCTACCAGGATTTTCATGATTCAGGCCCTATGTTATTATGTAAATAGTCTCTCTGTCACAGCTAACACTCCTTCTCCTGTCACTGGCATGGACTGGGACTGTGAGATAGGAACCTGTGTGTTTAAGCAACAGTAAGTGCTTTAAGATATTTCTCACAACAGAGGCAGGACAATCTTCAGGGGACCACCTATCAGTAGTAGTGATAGCTTTGAACTTGAATGGTCGTGGCATGTGGTTCAGGTCCAGGGGACAGCTGGTACAGCTGTGAGACAACCCTTCAAGGGAAGACATTTGGGAAATGAAGCTGAAGAGGCGGGTCCCAACTACCTTTTCCCAGGTTGAAGCTGTCAGCAGTACAAGGAGGAGCCAAACCTGCTGCAGTGATGGTTATGTTCTTGCATCTGAGTAGATCTTAAGAGAAGCGAGGGATTAAAAGGTGGATATGGGGCTAAGTAGTGTTTGTGAGCAGTAGATGGCAGAAGTGGAAAACAAATGAGATGGAAATCAAAATGTAGCAGGGAACTGTGAGGGTGGAGGGGCAGACCATATATCCAAAAATCCAGCTGAGCTGTCACAGTTCACTCAGATGAGTACACACAATGGAGTCAACTATAAATGCTGGTCATATCCAAGTATGAAAGTGGCCTGAAAATCATCTCCAACTACCCAAATAGTCTTGGCCCGAGTGCTATGGATTAGGCATTTGCTGATCAGGATGCTGCTATGGAAAGACCTCACTATGGGGTAGACCGATAATCCAGATGGCAATTGGAAGCAGAGGGAATTATGATACCATGGCTCAGCAGTCTGCCCTGTCACCATTTTCCAGTCTTATCTTAGAGAAGTAATCCATGATGATGATAGGGAAGCCCTGACAGATGTCACTACTACAGTTAACACTGATTGCAGATTTGGAGGCTAAGACAGTTACTTCTTGTCCTGACAGGGTCGGTCACCTCATAAATAGGGATGTAGACAACGCAGAGACATTTAATACCTTCTTGGCCTCTGTCTTTAACACTAATGACGTGCTCTGGGACCCCTGGAGCCCTGTGTTGGAAGCCCATGACTGGGAGAGCCTCTGTCTTTAACACTAATGACGTGCCCTGGGACCCCTGGAGCCTTGTGTTGGAAGCCCATGACTGGGAGGATGACAAACTCCCAGCCCACCCTGAACTTGTTTGAGACTTTCTGCTTCAGCTGGATGCACATAAATCTATGAGGCCCAATGGGATTCATCCCAGGGTGCTGAAAGAGCTGGCTTATGTTACTGCAAGACCTCTCTCCATTATTTTTTGATGGTCTTGGGAGTCTGGAGAGGTCCCATTCTACTGAAAGCTGGCAAATATTGTCCCAGTTCTCAAGAAGGGTAAGAAGGAAGACCCTGGTAATTACAGGCCTGTCAGTCTCACTTCAGTGCCTGGTAAAATTATGGAGAAGGTTATTCTGGGAATTGTTGAAAAACACTTGAGAGATAATGCAGTCATTGGTCATAGCCCACTCAGGTTCACAAGGGGAAAGTCCTGCTTAACCAACTTAATTTCCTTTTATGACAAGGTCACCCATCTAGTTGACCAAGGGAAGCCAGCAGATGTGGTAGGTTTGGATTTTAGCAAAGCTTTTAATACTGTCTCTTACAGTATCCTTCTGGATAAAATGTCCAGCACGCAGCTAGACAAGTCCATAACACGTTGGGTGAACAATTGGCTGATGAGTTGGGCTCAAAGACTTACAGTAAATGGGGTTACATCAGGCTGGCAACCAGTCACCAGTGGGGTTCCCCAGGGCTCAATTTTAGGGCCAGTGCTGTTTAATGTTTTTATAAATGACCTGGATACAGGAATTGAATGTACATTAAGTAAGTTTACCAACAATACTAAACTACAAGAGCTATGGACTCCCTCAAGGGTAGAGAGACCTTACAGAGACATCTGGATAGACTCAAGAGCTGGGCAATCACCAACTGTATGAAATTTAATAAGAGCTAGTGCCAGATTCTTCACCTAGGACAGCTTAATCCTGGTGCTGATCTCCTCTCTCTGGTGCCCAGTGACAGGACAGGAGGAAATGGAATGAAGATGCATCAAGGGTAGTTCAGCTTGGACATTGGGAAAAGGTTCCTTACTGAGACGGTAGTCAGTCACTGGAACAGGCTCCCCAGGGAAGTGGTCACAGCACCAAGCTTGTCAGAGTTCAAGGAGCATCTGGATGACGCTTTTAGTCATATGGTTTAGTTTTAGGTAGGTCTGCAAGGAGCATGGAGTTGGACTCAATGATCCTTATGGGTCCCTTCCAACTTGAGATATTCTATAATTCTATGATTCTACAAATGGAAGATCCTGAAATAAAAATAAAAATATGACGTTTAGATCCTTTAACAATTGCACTTTGGACTTGCTGTGGTTTGGAATGTACATCGCAGGAGAAGCCTACTACTTGTAGTAGCCTAGAATATTTCTTTTCCACAGATGCCATATAAAATGGATTTCCCAGATATTCAATGACATACTTAGCCACAGATTTCTTTCACTCTGTTTCACTAAAAATAGCATTTGTGAGAAAACTAATACATTGAAATCAAAATGCTGCAGAACTTATATTAGTTTTGCTAGATTATTTTTTTTCTTGTACACAGTCCTTCCAGGCCAAGGATGTGGGCTTGTTCATTCAAGCAGGGTCTCTAGCCTCCGGGACCACAAACATTCAGCACTGTTGGCCAACACACTCACTTTTCTCTCTCCTACCTTTCAGGAGGTCTGGCACAACACAAAAACAAAGTTTGGATTTTCCCAGGGGACAGACATTCTCTTTTGAACAGCTTTTCTCATCTTGCAGAAAATATACCCTTTGGACCAGTCAGGGAAGTTGCTGAATCAAATCTGGAAGGGACTTTAATGAAGTATGTAGGGGCCCGGTGACTGGCAGGGGGTGTCAGACCACTGCAGATGGTGACAGAAAGTGGCTGAGCAGCATCATTTGCTGAACAGAAACCCATGCTCAGATCCAGATTAGAAAGGAACCTGGCGGGCAGTTTTAGGACAAGACTGGAATTTCAGATGGTAATGAAGGGATTTCCCACTCTGCAGCCTGAAGGATAAAAGCTATGCTCTTAGCCTTTGCTTTGTAATATGATGGAAGAAAATCCACAATGCTTCTCTCCCAACCAGACAGGATAGTTCCTATGATTACTTTTTCAAAAAGCATGCTGCGGCACTCCAACTAGATATGAACAGCTTCTTTCCTGCTTTTTACAGCTCAGTGACCCCAGACTGCAAATCACTTCATGTGTTTCCGCATACCCCTCAGAGTTTACTAACCTTTAAGATGTCCTTGAGCTTCAAACGATTCTCACTTATCTTTGATTGAAAGCCCTGAGTCCAGGAATCATCATCAGCATCTCCTTGGGTAAAGGTTTTCCAACAGTAAGTATAGTCTGGAGAAATGGAAGCAAGATGACTAACCTGAGTTTATTCAGATACTAGACGAGCTCAGGGAACAAGATTTTTTAACCTCTTCCTGATGCCCATGACACAGAGACAGCTTGGCGATGGACAGGCTGTATTTGAAACCAATGCCATTCTCTCTGGGCTTTTTTACCAGTGGAGAGCCCCTTCAGCCAGCCTTGTTCCGGCAGCTGCATTTAGTCCCCCAGGACAAGGGAGAAGCACCCTATCTTCCATTCTCTCAGGAGTGATAGAAAGACAGCATCTTTAAACAAAGGAGACTTTTCGTACAGTTCTGGTTGCTAAGACTCCTGTCCCCCTTCTTCTGCAGTATTTGAACATCTTTTTTTGGATGCCACACTCATCACTGGATGGTGATGGATGTGCCCCCCAAAGAAGCTGGGCAGGACACTGGGCACAGAAGCAGGCCTATACCAGATTCACCCCTGCACAAAGTTCACCAATTCACCCCTTCCCAGTCCCACAAAGCAGGGGAAACCTTGCCTTCAATTCCCATGACAGCAATGGTTACTTCCTCCGAGCTCACAAGCTCCCTCAGACCTTGGCGGTTTCTTTCATCTTGTATGCGATAAAGACGTGCTATATGTATATCTATGTTCACATTTGAGTTCTCTTCTAAGAAATTCAGTATTTTAAGGCAGCATTCCGCACAAGGGCTCCAGGACAAGTACCAGGTGATGGAACAGTTGACATAATTATGGGATCTTCTCGTCTTAAAGATCTTCTCCAAGAAGTAGACTTCAGCATGGTAATGATCCTTTTTCACCCAGTGTATCCAAGGTTTGCCAGTCTCACCCCACTGCAGTTTGCATAGTAGGTACGTGTCCTTTTGAGCCTTCCTGGGGTCAAAATTATGTTTTAACGCCTTCTTAGATACATACATGCTGAAACAGAAGAGAAACTTCAAGGAATCACTGGTTACAACTTTGTTTTCAGTAGTTCTCCAGTACACAAAAAAGGGGAAGGGAGGAGGAAACGAGAGAATAACTGAGAAGGGCAAACTATGAGAGAGCAATGCAAGGAAAATGGTAGGCACCAGAGCAGCGTAAAGGAACGAAGCCCTGAACCACCTGATCCTCCCTTTGTCTGCAACTGCATGAAGAACTTTCATCTCCTTACCCCTCCCTATGGCTGTCCTCTTCCTCATCAGTGTGAGTATTTCTAAAAGCTTTCTATATCTTTTCATGCATCAGACATTTTTTCCAGAGTTCCTATGTAGCCCGTTTCAATGTAGGAAGCCATTGCAAATTTTTTAAAAAATAAAAAAATAAAATAAAAGAAAGAAAATAAACCCACTGGTAAATTATGAAACTAAGTATTTCTCCTTATTGGATTCTCTTGCTGGCTGTTTGTATTTTCATAAGGATTAGCACAGTCAGCACAATCTTGCACGAGAGAAGGCAAAAGTGCTCTATACAAAAAAGATGCAACTCCCAAGAATGACATTTTCTGATGGATAGTCCATCTCTTAGATCCAGATCTGTTCAGTTCAGAACAGACCTCTAAATATTGTCAATTAAGTAACAATACAAAGACTGCCAGTGTTGGTCATGAATGTAACCTTTATATCAGTAATTATCCATAACATATGAAGTCACCATGAGCACTTTAGTCTTTTTACAATTGCTTCATACAGAGATTTATATGAGAATGCACTTCAGATATACATTTTTCCACATTAGAGTAATTCAGAATAAATCTAGGACAGTCTTAACAGAGAAGAAATAAGCCTGTAGATTGTTTTCTAAATTGGCACCCACCAATAACAAAAAATAAAGAAAAAAACAGCACTGTCTGAACTAAGGACTAATGAAATCTTGCAGATCAAGCAACTGTCACATATTCTCTAGCTGCAGGACTCATCACCTATGTAAAAAAGCATCTCATTTATCTGAGTCAGTTGGAAGGTTTTGCCTTCTTACCCTGTCTCCTTCCTCATCCCAGCCTCCTGCACATTAAAATACATATGTACATAAAGAAGTTTATAAACCACAGAGTGTATCTCTGTTTGTTTTCTCCATGTAAAATCTGTGTATATAAACCACAGAAACTATACATGCAGATTTCTTTAGAACTATGTTGCAATACACTAATCTTCAGGATATAGCCACCTTAAAGGTCTGTTAAGCCAACTTAAATTTATTGTGTAATCAACTTAATACAATATAAACAAAAGTCTGCATTCTTATAAATATCTGCTACAGATATAACTTGCTATTTTTTTAAATGATGGATTAATGTAAATTCAAACAACTCTAACAGCATGACAAACAAGAGATTTAAAAACATCATAAAACATTCTCACACTACAGAATATGTACAGAATAGCAGCACCTATTCTTTTTTTCTCCACAAACCAGATAAGAAAATACTTGATATAAGTTGGGAGTTTACAGATAAATTGCTCAAAGCCATGCAATCACTTTATTTGGTTTTTATTTTTACAACTATCAGTCACAGTCATTGCTGTTCAGCAATGTTATGTATGGTACACATATACGCATGGAGCCTATCTCAAAAATATCAAGCGCTTAATAGCTGGTTCCTTGATACAAATATGAGACAAAATTACAAGTTAGCAAATAAGGGAAACAAAAAGTCCTAAAACTTTTCTAGTTTTTGTACTAAATTTGGTTCATCAGTCTCATGAAGGTGATCTTGTAACCTTTTCAGAATTTAAGAGCTGGAGAGATATACCAACCATAAAGGCTGACTGGGTATTTGAAAGGTGAATTGCACCCAAAAATGTTTAGAGGAGTTAGGGGAGAAAATGGCAGAGGGATGACAGCCAACATAACTATCTCCTAGGCTTTATTTTATTTTCCATTAGTAAGCCACTGCTGTGTAAAGGAGCATTAATCCTTAAAAATGTTTTGACTGATTACAAATATCTTTTAAAATGTGTTATTTTTGTTCATTTTCTATTGTGCTATCATCCATAACTTGAACAGGAATGTAATAAGTTTATTTTTAAATTGACTAATTTTACAAAACCGGCTCCTAAAACCAATATCTCTCTTATTAAAATTTGTGTCATAAACTGCACCATTTAATAATTTTCCTTCCTTCCTGTAGCATTTTTTATTAGAAACTATTAAAAATTCTGCTCATTGCAAGATAATAATAGTAGTAATAATAATATCTAAAAATGTACAAGCATAGATGGGTCAAAACTTCTTTAATCTGCATTTTTCCTCTATTGCTAATGCTTTGCACAGCCGATGCGCTTCTTTACTAAACCTTGCATTAAAACTATATTTTTTTCCCCTCTATTGGACAGAAAATGTCTGGTCTGACACTTCCTGTTTATTTTGTTGCACAACAGCCGTTTCGAGACCCCGAAACAGCCGAGAAGGGAAGAGGCACTTTCGGATTCTCTTGCTGCCCAGTGTTGGGGTGAGTGAGCTCCTGCCTTAGCCCATCCCCAACCCACCCCCTTCTTTCACTCGTTTTTATCAGCGCCTTTTGTTCCCTGCTGTTTTACAGCTCCTGTGACAGTTTTATGCTCACAGGAACTTCCCCAACAGTCTCAGAAGTCGGTGTGGCCCCTCGCCCACTGCGGTTGACCCGAGACCAGGGCTCCCAGTCAGGTACACTGGCCCCAGTATCGCCCTCGCCCTTCCCCAAGCACAGCAGAGACTTTGCCCAGACAGAAAGCACACCCCGGGGTGACAAAGCGCGGGGTCCGCTTGGGTTGGAGCAGCGACAACACAAAGCTGAAGCTGGGATGTTTTTCTTTTGGTCAGCAATTTAATTTTTTTTTTTTTTACCCTCTCAGCTTTTTCTTGTACATGGCTTCTCCTCTCTCTGTGAACCTGCCGGTGCCGCTCTTTTCCTGTGGTGCTGTCCTCCTTTCTCTTTCTGTTCCTGCAGGCTGGTCTCCAGCTCCGTGGGCGGCTGATGGCGGAGCACACCCCCAGGCTCTGCTGGCTCCGGGTGATCTAGGAAGAAAGGCAAAAAAAAATGGTTTGACCGACGTTGCTACCACGTAATGACACGTCTTGACCAGCCTGCCCTCAGCAGCACTCCCTTAGCTGGAGAGTGAGAGGGCTGATAGATGTTTGTGGTTAAAAACGTAATTATTGCACAACCTCTCTGAAGCCTGCTTGTAAGTTTGAAAGGGGTGATAGTGCTTTGTTGGCAGAAAAGTGAGATTTACTCTTCTGTGCAGGAAACCCCTCCCCACTGTGAGGCAGTTCCGTGTGGCGCGCGGGACCTTCCTCCAAAGCACCCAGAGCTCAGACCGGTGGTGGTTCAGCTTCACGCCTGGTGAGGTCTTTCCATGCCGCCAGAGCTGGCGTCAAGGTCGAAGTGCTCACCAACACCTCTGATGAGAGATTTCCCTCACAAGGTGTCTGCAAATCTTCCTCACCCTCTCTGCCAAACCCAGAAGGTCGAGAGTTCCCCCTGTGGAAGAAGTGTGGGGGGGGGTGTACTGGGAGCCTTGCAGAGGACCCAGCACTTGAGGAGCTGGTGATCTTGAACATGCCATGTCTGCTCTCTTGGGGCTTGTTCTTAGGGACTGAGAAGCCCGTATATTACCGGTGTAATCCATAATTTATACACGCAGGCCTGCGCTGCACTGTGCTGCACGTGCAGCGTGGCCTTCATGAGGACCTGTGTGGTGTGCCGTGGGGAAATCCGTCCGGGGTCTGTCCCACGCTGCATGAACGGGGGGTACCCAGTGTCTGAAGGGATGTTAGATTTATTCACTGTCTACATTCCTCTTCTTATTCTGTCTTATTAAACTAGTTGTTTTATTTAGCCCTTTGTTTTCAGGCCTTTCTTATTGAGATCCGGTAAGTTCCCTGCACTGTCTCTCTTGCACATAAGTGATCTTGGCCAGGGCGATGAGGTGCATGCATCTTGGTGCTGAGACATAATTTTTTTTTTTAGATTTGTGAAATAAAATCACATTCTCCTTCCTTACAGTCCTTTTGAGTTTTGTTATACTAATTTCCTATGGAGACATTTAGGAAAGATAGTAGCTCCCAAGTCCCACAGAGTTACTACTGTTCACCTAACCGCCACGCTAGAAGAACACAGCATACCTCACCAACTTTGCCAGCCCCCTTCTGAAAACATGGCCAAGGCAAAACCGGCAGTACTCACAATCCTAAGGTGACACTGAGGAGCAGCTACAATTACCAATCACTCGGGAGCTCACATTCTGCTTTCAGATTAACTGCGCTGTGGATGCAGAGAGCTCAGCTGGCTCTGCGGAAAGTCTGGCTGAGTTCATTAGCTGAGGCACAGCGCTGCCTGCTCAGGTCTGGAAACATTACAAATACTTTCACAGGACACCAAGCCTAAGCTAACAAGGGCCAGATGTGCCGAGAGAGAGTGCCACAGAGACTCTGCAGGCATGTTCCTGAGGCTAGGAGCCATGGGGAGCAGGGGGCAGTGACACCCAAGTGACTCCTCATAGACCCGTGAAGGTACCAGATCTGCCTCAGGGTGAGCTATGCCACACTCTGCATGGTGGCAGCACTCTGTGGTCCAGCAGGCTAGGTTACCTCAGGCTCAACACTTCTCGGATGCACAGAGCCAGCTTTGGCCTAGTACAGTGACAGAGCTATTTGTCACTGGAGAAACTGACCTTGGGTTTTTTTCCATTACCTGGGATATCCCAAAACTGCCTAAGTTGACAATATGAGGATTTCGGTTTCCATTTCTCTTTTCATGGAGTACCTGAAGAAAATTGCTGGGCCCTGTGTCTTCTGAGGGACAAGGAATTTCAGTGATTTCAGGGCTAATGCTGGAGCTAGCACCAGGTGTTGACACCAGCTTGCCAAAACTCTCTTGGCTTGAGTGCTGCCTGCCTCAGAAACCGCCTCTCTCCATGAGGGACAAAGTAAGCACTGTGGGCTGTTGTCTAACCAA